GCAGCACCAGCAGCCCCAGCACCAAGCACCAACACACCAACACACACACACACACACACACACCTTGAGCGTGGACAGCGTCTCCCCCGCATTCGGCACCCCTGCCGAGACCGTCGCAACGAGCACTGTCTTGCTGTTGCCTCCCAGCGAATGCGCCATCAAACGGGTCAGCTTCGAGTCGCGGTAGGGCACCTGCGTCGTCGTGGGTTTTGGGTTGTATTTGTGGGGTCGTTCTCGACAAACAACAGCATCAGGCCATGATGCTCGAAAAACAAAAAAAAAAGAAGATAGATGGTACGGTCCTCGAAAAAAAAAAATGATACGGTCCTCGAAACAAAGAAAAAAAAAATTATGTGATCCTCGAAAAAAAGAAAAAACTTGTAGAAGTATGGTCCTCGAAAAAGCAGTAGCAGCAGCAGCAGCAACAACAACAACAACACCAAGGACAGCAGTAGCAAAAAAAAACAAAAAAACGACGGGATGACACCGACTCACGTGCCCAGCGCCAGCACCCTCTACAAGGGAGTTGATGACTCGCCCTAGCGCAGACCTGGGACGAACCATCAAGGGTCGAGGGTAGGTTAGTCTTCGAGTTGTTGTTGTTGTTGTTGATGTTGTTGTCTTTTACGTAAAAAACTGTTCCGATATCTCTACCCAGTACCTTCATCTGTCCGTACTAATAGTCAAATACTTGACGCGGTCGATTCCCGTGGTCACATGCTAACCGCCCCAAAAAAAGGTATACTACAAAAAAAAAAAAAAAAGCGCCAAAAAGGTCTTCGTTTCGTACAATGGTCCGAACGTACTGTCCAATCGGAGCAAGAGATCAAAGAGTCAGGTGAGAGGGGCGTCCTCATTTTTCCCATCCTTTAGCGGTTAGCCCTTTCCCCAGAGGGGGGGGGGGGTAGCGCAATGCGTGTACCATGGTACAAATGCAGCACGAGCGACCGAGGGCACATGCAGAGATTTATTGGTGCTGGAGGCGTCCTTGCGTGGCAGGGCTTG